TCCCACACTTGATACTGCTTCTCTCATGAGAAGTCTGAAGAAGAAGTTGGATATGGATGATATAGGAAAGGTTGTTTAAAATCTATGGATGTTTTCTTAAGACAGAGCTTTGAAACCAGAACCTTAAGGGTGGTGCAGAGAGGTTGACCCCCAGTCTGTGGAGTGGCAGAGCGGGGCATGAGGCTGCTGAGCCACTTCGCTCAGCCACTGAACCGACTGTGATTTTGGTCCTCCCAGTGTGTTGAACAGGTGTCCTCATATTCTGTATGAGCCACAGCATAAGAAAGCTGGGCAGTATTACCCTAAGGGACATAGCAGTGCCTTGGAAGTATGATGGGATGACGACAGATACTGTTGTCCTTAAGAATCAGGGTTCTGGAACACAAACAGCAGAAATAGTCTAGCTAATTTGCCCCACATCGGAGTTATCTGGGGCTATCCATGTGAAATTTATTGTTAGACTGATCTAATACACATTTGAAAGCATTTTCTGTATCAGGTGCTGAACTTAGTTTTTAAGTATACAAAGACAGTCTTCTCACAGGAAGCTCCTTCCATATGAATGATTTAAGATGTTTAATCATGCCTGGTTTCTGTCCTGCTCTAGATAAAGAGGAGGCTCTGTTTATCTCTGCTGACGGGTTAGGAAATGATTATTTGGTGACAGTCTCACCAAAGGGGGAATTATAATCACAAATGTATAATCTCTTTTGATCAACATTTGTTGTACTAATACTTTGATCTCTGTTAGCTTCTAAAAATCTCCACAGGCCATTTGTAGTATCACTTCCTTCCTTATGCCCCTTTATCCCCGTGGAAGTTGTTGCAGGCTTTTGAAAAAAAATCCATGTTGCTCTAATGTTGTATTTGCTTGTAGTTTAGGCTTTAAAAATAAGTGCGTGCATAGTGTTGGGTTGGTTGCCTTTAGGGTTTAGGTTTTGTGGGACCTTGAGAAAGAGAAGTAAAGATGAGAAGGACGAGTCCTAATAATGTTTCCTACTTAGAGAAAGCAAATGGGAGAAGAAGAAATGCCGGGGGGTGGGGGAGAAAAAAAAAAAAAGCGCTCATCAATAGCCAGAGGTAGCCTCACTGAAGTATTGTAAAAGCTGTCTCTTTCTGCCTCTCCCTGAACCTCGTTCTTGGCTGACTGGGGTCTTCCTTCTCCTCCTCAAGACTGCCTTGTGAGTTAGTCTCAAAATGATCATCCTTTGGAGAGTGGGGAGACCTGCTGGAAGAGCCCACATAACTTGACATTACCCTACACCCCCTGGCACCAGTTTCAGGCACTGAGTCAGCTCTGCTTATGCCGTGAACTTTTATAGAATTATTTAGCACGTTTTGTTGGTAGACGATCAGAATATATGCTTGGACAGTTCTCAAGATAGTTGCAGATGTGTTTGAAGTGTGGAGTGTGTCCTCGTCTAACTTATGTAAGCCACATTGTGTTGCATTTGTGTGCTTGTCCATTTATGCAGGAAATGTCCTTTAAAGGCCCCCGTTTATTTTTGTTTAAATGTGAATGCAGTGCTGAAAAGAATGTGTGTGTGTTTATATAAATATTTATTTTCAAGGAAACAGTTCGAGCGAGTTTTAATTGCTGTAATAGAATTTATCTGCCTGCAGAGGTTAGCTACTGTCCCCTCAAATTGAGCTTTTGAAGAAAGGGCCAATTTTGGTGTTTTTCTCTGGATGGTTTTTACGATGATTCTGTGTTCTGTTATCGTCCTGCCTTTGATCCTAGTGTGTTTTCAGTTTTTCACCATATAGAGATTGTCGTGGTTTCAGACATAGCACGTGACAGGTGGTGTTCAGCTTTTGATTTGGGGAGTTTGTGGGCATTGAGCTCATTCAGATGTATGATTACAAAGGTCCTTACCTTATTTTTATCTCCAGAAACCTTGCCCTATAAAGTAACATTCATAGGTTCCAGGAATTGGTTAGGACCTGGTGTCTTTGAGGGCTACCATTTTCACTTACATCTCACAGTACACATCCGCCCCGTGCACAAAGTACGTTCACGCTGCTCCGGCATCCCCCGGAGTGTCAGCTCATTACAGTGACAGCACGAACCCACATCTGATCTAGACACCGTCTGCTCGACAGGCTCCAGTCTCATCAGAATCATCCATATCAGGTGTGGGCGAGATGGAGCCTGATCCATTGTGATGCAGAATTCCTCTCCCTCTGCAGACCTGGAAACAAGACAGGTCACTTGCTTCCAAACCACAGGGGTGGGTCAGGCTTTGGAACCCGGTTCTAGAGAGACCGGTTTAAAACAGGACACTGAAGGAAGAAACGAGGCAGCTGACCCAAGCAGTTTCCAAATCCAGCAGGCAGATTCCATTAGGTTGCAAGGCCTGGGGACAGTCCTCTGCCTTTAAATATTTCCTGAAGACACATTTCTAAGAAGTAAAAGAGCCAGTTTCATGAAAACTTTTTTCTTGTATATTGCTGAACCTTTCATGAGAAAAACTTCTATCAGTTTACTTTTTTTTTTTTTTTTACCAGCAATGTATTGTACTAGGGATTCTTTTACCTGTCACGTTGATTAGCACATTATCATTGAAAAAAAATTGGTGTATGTATAAAATGAGACCTAAGCTTTGCCAATTTCACATGAACAAAACCTTTTTTTTTTTTTAAGATTTTATTTATTTGAGAGAGAGAGTGCGTGGAGGGTGGTGGGGGGGTTTGGGAAGGGGCAGAGGGAGAGAGAGAATCCCAAGCAGACCCTTCAATGAGCATGGAGCCTGATGTGGGGCCCAATCCCAGGACCCTGAGATCATGACCTGAGCTGAAATCAAGAGTCAGCCACTTACCAGACTTAACAGACCAGGCACCCCTTGCATAAATAAAACTTTTAACTGTTTTTGGTGTTAGTGAGTGCCTTTCATAATTTTTTCTCAGTTTTGCTTTACTGTTCACACCCTTGCCAATTTTTCTATTTTTCTTGACTTGTGTGATGTCTTTTTATATTTAGAGTTTCTCATTTTGTATTGGAAGGATTTTCCCCAGCTTTCATTTAAATTTTTTTAAGTTTTGTTGTGTTTTTTTTGGTAATGTACAGAGTTTGCTTTTCAATACAGCCAAATTTGCTGTAAAAAGAGTACCTTTTGCATGTATAGGTTGACTGTCCTTCCTCTGCTCTCTGTCAAATAAAACTTAATTTAAAACTCTTGTGAGGGTATGTATTAAAATTGATATAAATCTAATCTGGGGAAAGTTGACCTCTTACAGAATAGGTTCTTATCATCGGGAAATGTTATGTCCCTTCACGTACTAAAGATTTTTAAGTTACTCAGGAGAATATTACCATTTTCCTCATAAAGATGCTACATATTTCTGGCTACATTTATTCTTTGTTACTATTATAAATGGGATTTTTTTCTATTATTGTTTTCAAACAAATTTGTCTTGGCATAAATTAAAGTTATTTCTCTTTAATAATTTGATAACCAGGAACCTTTACAACTCTCTGTAGAGGGGGCGCCTGGCTGGCTCAGTTGGTCAAGCGTCTGCCTTCGGCTCAGGTCATGATCCCAGGGTCCTTGAGATCCAGCCCCGCATTGGGCTCCCTGCTCAGCGGAGAGCCTGCTTCTCCCTCTCCCACTCCCTCTGCCTGCCCCTCTGCCTACTTGTGCTCTCTCTCTGTCAAATAAATAAAAATCTTTAAAAAATAAAATACATATTTGGTACCTGAATGGGCAAGTTACATGGGAAATTCAGGTTGTAGTATGCTTACTTCTGAAAATGTGTCTGGTCTTCTTGGGAATTCACGTTATCCTGCAGACAGGCCCATCCCTGAGAGCTGATCCAGGGGTCACGGCCAGAAGCTCTGTGCTCTTGTCTACAGTCCTGCCCAACTGGTATGGCACATTCAAACTTGCAAATCTCACTGAAAGCACCAGGCCGAACAGAATGAGCCCCTTCATACATCTTCCAAATCCACTGGGGTGGGAAAGTGGATTGCAGAGGAGTTGTTTGAGAAGGTAGATAAAGGCATAATAAACTGTGAAGAGTATATGCTGGAAAAAGTATCCTTAATAGATCTGTGTGAAACTAAGATGTGCTACAAATGCTTAAAAACCCAACTATGTTGCAGAGTCTCCATACAGTACAATCCCCAAGAAATGATTTTTAAGATCTACTGACATAGTCATGGTCAATGAGTAAAGCATGTTACAAAACGTATTGTGGTCTGATTTTAATTGTAGAGAAAAAAATGTGTATCTACATAAGGACAGTAGTTTCTAAGAGACAATGATTATTTTGGGATAATTGAACTTAGAAATGTAGGTAATATACATATATTTAAAAAACCCATATATTCTGTAGGTGTATATATAATATTTTGTATATTTTTGTTTTCTTTATCTTTTCTGAATTTTCCATCTTTTCTGTACCAGACATATTTTGTTTGTATAATATAAAACAATGTTACCTTACCTCCCTATCCCAAAGAAATTGCTCCAAATAAGTGATTATTTGAAATACCTGTGTTACCAACTTGAAGCTGACAGTGCCATGATGGTTTTGTGTTTTTTTTTAGCTCGTTATGGTTGTAGACTGCTTCTCGGATTCGTCACTCAGTTGTTCATATTATGTTTGAGGGAAAATCATTTTATTAAATGAAGGCGTTGAAGTGTAACCCTGGAAAGGTGGTAATGTTTTAGTATTTTCAGTGTATCTGTTGAGGTATATGATTTTTATAGTGGTATTTTCATTTGCAAAAGTGTTAGCATCTCTGAACAATATGAACTTGAAGCATTGTTTTCTATTGTATTGGAGCATAACGGGTGATTTGTGGTTAATAACAACTTTAGTTCATTTCTGTTTACATTTTCTTAATTCTGAGAAATTCTTTGTTGCCTTTCAAAATATGATATTAACTATATGTTAAAACAAATTTTTCTGCTTTTTGGTGTGAATTTCTTATGCCCTCAGAATAGTATCTGTTTTATAGTACTTGAAACTTTTACTTTTTATTTGTTATTTCTTAGGTAAACGCAAAGCACTGAAGTTGAATTTTGCAAATCCACCTTTCAAATCTACAGCAAGGTTTACTCTGAATCCCAACCCTACAGGAGTTCAAAACCCACACATGTGAGTATTCCTGGTAATCAACTAAAAGGCTCAACTCAAGCAGAGGTTTCAAAGTTAATTGTATTTTATGAATTTTTCCAAGTCGAGGTGTTGGTATATCCATTATCTTATGGGCCATTTGAAATATTACTATTTGAACTTAAATAGAAAGCTGTTGATTCTGTAGTCTGAAGTAGGTGAACACAATTTTCGTTGTTAAAGTTTACTTGAAGGGGAAAAGAGAAGATCTAGATATATTGATAACTTTTCAGTTTTTCTCTCAGTGAACTCTGAGAATATTGTTTAAACCTTTCCTTCTGGATCTCCTGTTAAATTGTAAGTGGTATTTAGGAAACGTACCTCTCCCCTGTACATCTGCACAAATCATCCCCACTTACTGGGTGATCAAGTAGAGTCCCGTTCTGGATAAATGACATTCCTGTAAGATTTTCATGTCACAGTAAATTGAAAGAATGTGTATGTGTTGGGGTATAGGCGTCAGTGATTACTTTTAAAATTTGTTCCCTAAATATATATATATATTTTTTTCCCTAAATATTTTTTATTAAAATACAAAAATGATGTTTTAGCATCTCAGTGAAGGTCATTTAAAGTATTGGAAACATCTGTTAATTTAAAATAATACCATCAGAGTAATATTTATAGACCTTTGAATTGAAGTGATGTATTAAATAATGATGCCTCCCTCCTCCCCCCATAAGACCTATCAGGAGCATGAAGGGTCAAAGCCAGTGGCTTTGCATTTATACTCATAAAAATAATTTTTACGTAGTTCTGGTATTGAGAACAATAAAGCAAATGATGGAAGGTATGGTTAAAAAAGCTGTCAGAATATATTATCTTGTAGTTTTTAATAACTCCTCAACAATTTTTATTCAAGCCTTATTAGACTACAAATATATTCATGCTTCCTCAAAAGGGCACATTTATTTCTGGTTCCTTTCCTTTTGATGTCTGGCATACATTGTATTTGCAAACAGTAACAGATTGGTAGAAGGTAGAGTGTTCTGCAGTAGGAATGCTGAAAATATATTGTGATTTTTAAAACAGTGTGTGGAAGGGAGCAATGTGGATGTGTGTGTATATGCTTTTAGGCTTTCACCTGTAACTTTAAAACAAATGAAAACTGGAGTAACAGTTCACTTGCCTGGGAATAGTGTCTTTTAATTTTATTAAATCATAAAATCATAATGAGATTTCTTGTTGGAGCTCAGTTTAGAGTCCTAGCCTTTTTACCTCCTTTGAAACATCGAGTGGGGGCTATGTTGAGGAAGGAAACTCTTAGTACCTCTTAATTAGTCAGAGCTCTGGCAGCAAGGAAACATTCTTAAAAGAACCTCCTTCCTCATTTCCTAGAATTTCTAGTGAAAGCTAGTACAAAACTAATTCTTGAACATGGTCTATTTCTATTACCTTGATAGCTAGCTGAACCACGTATTCAGAGTCTAAGAAAGAAAAGATACGTAGTTATTGCCAGACTTAACAGCTCTTTCTTTTTTTTTTTAAATCCCTTTTGGACACAAAGAAAGACAACCTGACTTTCATTTAGAATTGCAAAAACATTCACGTACTTATACTCTCTTCCTTTGAGAGTTTCATGTATTAGGGAATTCATGGACAAGATCTCCCCCCCCACCCCCAAATAGTAAACTGAGTGGGAAAAAGCTTTCTTCCAAAGGTTGAGTCGATCAATTTTTTTTTTTTTTTTTTAAACCTACCACTTCATAATATTCCTATAACCACCTAGGGTTCTTATCTTTTGTCTCTTCCCAGCACATGTTAAAAGTTTGAGAGGAGGGGCGCGTGGGTGGCTCAGTTGGTTAAGCGACTGCCTTCGGCTCAGGTCATGATCCTAGAGACCCGGGATCGAGTCCCGCATCGGGCTCCCTGCTCAGTGGGGAGTCTGCTTCTCCCTCTGCCCCTCCCCCCTCTCATTCTCTCTCTCCGTCATTCTCTCTCTCTCAAAAGTAAATAAAATTTGAAAAAAAAAAAAGTTTGAGAGGACATGGTAATAAGCATTTTTACTTTATGATAGAATCTTTAGGGGCGCCTGGGTGGCTCAGTCATTAAGCATCTGCCTCCGGCTCAGGTCATGATCCCGGGGTCCTGGGATCGAGCCCCGCATCAGGCTCCCTGCTCAGCGGGAAGCCTGCTTCTCCCTCCCCCACTCCCCCTGCTTGTGTTCCCTCTCTCGCTGTGTCTCTCTCTGTCAAATAAATAAATAAAATCTTTTTTTTTTTTTTTAAAGAATCTTTAGATTTTGATTGTGGTATGTAAAAATTTTAGATCCAGACCTTGTTTGAATTTTATTACTGCACTGGTCTGTTGTTATGTAGATCAGGAACAGATAACTACTAGCATTGATATTGGTCAAAGACAGTTGTTTCATTACTTAGGGCAGCATATCTCCTTGACCTCCCTACCCCCTTCCATAAGGGATCCTTTTGTGTTATTCCTTTGAGTTGTACTATCAGGCAGTAAAAACCACTGTCAGCCACTGTTTGGGGTGGGTAGTTTGCAATTAGAAAATATAACTTGCAGTATGTGGGGGTTTGAAAAAGATACCTCTGTGTCACTTACCTGTGTTTCCTCCTTCTAAAATGTCCTTGAATTTTAGTTACAGATATAAATAGAAAACTTGCTCATGAATTTAGGAAAAGATAAGATGAAATGTAAGCAACTAAATGAAGTTAAGATATGCCCCAGGAACTACTTTCACATCCATCTGGCATTTGATGTCTTCTGGGTGCAGATTCTGTAGAAGATTTAAAATTGTAAGACCGTGTCCTTATTTTCTGAGAACCAAGAGTTTAAATAAAATTCTAAGAAATAAAGTTGGGTATGGCAATTCAAGAAGTGAGGCATAAGGTGATACAGATTGAATGTCAAATGGATGGTGCAGGAGGGGGTAAGAACACTTTAGGATAAACAGCTTGGTGAAACACTTCACAGAGGAAAAAGATTTGAATTAGATTTTGAAAGACACGTAGAGAAGGGAGAATGGCATTCTGGTGAGTGGATGTAGAAGATAAGTTTTGGGGACTATGTATAGATCTGTTTGATTATAGCAGCGATGTTACTTATAGATTACCTATTTCTATCACTGGAAACTTTTAGCATTTTTTTCTTTATTCTTGGTGTTCTGCAGTTATATGAAGATACATCTAGGTCTGGATCATCTTTCTGTACACTAGAATTTAGTTTCAAGATTCATGTATCTGTTTCTGAGAAAATTTTACTTTTCTTTTGATTGATTCCTTCATGTTTTTCCTAGTCTCCTGTTGTTTGGACATTGGACTTTCTGAATTTCCTGGGTCTCTGACTTTTTTCCATACTTTTTATCTTTTTGTTTTCTTTTTATGTAGACCTTCCTTCCTTCCTTCCTTCCTTCCTTCCTTCCTTCCTTCTTTCCTTCCTTCCTTCCCTTTTCCTTTTCCTTTTCCTTTTCCTTTCTTCCTTTCTAGAAAGAGAGAGAGCACATATGACCGGGGTGGGGAGGGGACAGGGGAGGGGCAGAATGAGATGGAGAGAGAGAATCTTAAGCAGGCTCCACCTGCAGAGCAGAGTCTGATGTCAGGCTCAGTCTTGTGACCCTGAGATTGTGACCTAAGCCGAAGTCAGGAGTTGGATGCTTAACTGACAGCCACTCAGGCGCCCCCCTTTATTTTCTGATCCTTCTATGAGATACTCTATTTTGGCAGTTGATTTTAATTTCCAGGAGTTGATTGTGGCTTCTTCTTAGTATCTTATTCTTAATTTATGGATGTAAAATCTGGAATTTTGAAGATCTTTCTCTATCCACTAGGCAGTCCATTTCTTCAAGGATCAGTTTTTCTTTAATCTTTGTCTGTCTTTGTGTTAGTTTTTTTCCATGTGTCTTGTAATTCTTGGTTGTCTACTGATAGTTGAGGATGAGGAAATTAGAAGGCTGGTTGGTAGCTCTGGTATAGGTGGTCGACTGGTGCACTTGACTACTTTTCTGTGAATGGTTTGAGAGCTGGCTGTTAGGTCAGGAATATTCAAATGCCTGAATGAGTGGGGACAACATTCACCCGAGGAGGGCTTGTTCTCTCCAGATAATATGTTTATTTTCCTTAAAGATATGCCCTCTTTCTATTTTAGGGGGAAGGTGGAGAGAAAAGGAGGAACTGACTAGACCTTTCTTAGAGAAAGAATTTTAATGAACTCTTCTGCTTCTAGGTGTTCATACCTTCAACTTTGCATCCCCTCTACAGTTCTGTTGGGATCATTGTTTATTTCTCATCTCTGCTGCATGTTCCCCTCCTACCATGTGTTATGGGTAGTACTTTTCTCTATTACTGTTTCATTCTTTTTTTTTTCTTAAGGGAATTCTCTTCTTTTTTTTTTTTTAAAGTGATGGGCAGGGTTCAAATTTTAATGAAGATGAATTTTTTTTTGAAGATTTTATTTTTAAGTAATCTCTGCACCCAACGTGGGGCTCCAACTCACAACCCCAAGATCAAGAGTTGCACGCTCCACTGACTGAGCCAGCCAGGCCCCCCATTACTGTTGTATTTTTATTTTGTTTAACTGCTTATTATGGTAAGTTGCAAATATATCCAGAACTAGAGAGTGATAGATGGATCTGTATGTATTTATCAATCAGCTTTAGAAGCTTCAGTAGTTAATGTTCAGTAGTTAATTGGTTTTATCTGTTCCTCCACCCTCCTTATTTTTAACCAAACCTCAGACATGATTCCATCTACAACTATTTCACATATATTTCTAAAAGATAAGGACTCCTTTTTAAAAACATAATCACAATACCATTATTATATCTAGTAGAATAAATAATTCTTTAATATCATAATATAAGTAGGTTACTTTATCAAAAAATTTTTTTTTATAGTTTGAAGCAGGATCTAAAGAAGGTCCTCCACTGCAGATGGCTAATAAGTCTTTGAGACTATGAAGTCCCTTCTCTTGGAGTTGATTAGTTTTTGCTTTGTCTACACATTTTTGTCTGCCTTCAGGCATTC